AGTTTGTAGGGTTTCTGTAATTTGTGATGTTGCTGAATTCTAACTTTAAAACATAGTGGTCTGAAAAGATACAGGGTGCTATTCCAATTTTTTTTTTTTTTTTTTTTTTTTGCATCTGTTGAGATTTGTTATGTTGCCGAGTATGTTGTCGATTTTAGAGAAGTTTCCATGTAGAGCTGAGAAGAAGGTGTATATATTCTTTTGTGTTTGGATGGAATGTTCTATAGATGTCTGTTAAACCCAATTGGGATATAACTTCTGTTAGTTCTTTTGTTCTGTTAAGTTTCTGTCTGGTGGTCCTGTCTAGTGGTGAGAGTGGGATGTTGAAGACTCCCATTATAAGTGTGTGAGGTTTTATGTGAGCTTTGAGTTTTAGTAATGTTTATTTTATGAATGTGGGTGCCTTTGTTTTTGGGACATAGATGTTCAGAATTGAGACTTTGTCCTGATGGATTTTTCCTGTAATCAATATGAAATGACCTTTTTCATCTGTTTTGATTGATTTTAGTTTGAAGTCTAACTTGTTAGATATTAGGATAGTCACACCTGCTTGCTTCTTGGGTCCATTTGCTTGGAAGATCTTTTCCCAGCCCTTTACCCTGAGGTAATGTCTATTTTTGAAGCTTAGATGTGTTTCTTGTATGCAGCAGAAGGATGGTTGCCCCGACCCGCTGGGCAGTCAACGACGAACTGGGAGACACCTACGGGAATCGAAGGGCAAGGGAGGAGAAGAACAACAGCAAGTCCATATTCTCATCAAGCTGTCAGACTTCATTTCCTCAGGGGAGGCTTATATAGGACCATGGGCAGAATGTAAGCAGGGGTTTGCAAGTGGGCAGGATGAAAGGGTCAGTAGAAAGAATGCCCTGAACTATTCTTTAACTGGCTGTAAAACTGTAGCAGGAGGAATATCCTGAGCTGTTCTTTAACTGGTTGTAAAGCTACAACAGGAGGAATATCCTGAGCTATTCTTTAACTGGTTGTAAAACGGCAAGCCTGTATCTAAGAATGCTTTGCTAAACATTCTACTCACTTCTTAAGAGGCAGTAATCTTCTATCTCAGAGGCCTGAGGTAGTGAGGTCCCCAACAGATGGGTTCTGTCTTCGTATCCATTGTTAACCTGTTGTCTTTTTATAGATGAATTAAGACCATTAATATTGAGGGAATTTAAGGAGCATTCTTATTAATTCTTGTTTGTTTTGGATTTGTTGTTGTTGTTGGTATTGTGAGTAGATTTACCCCACTTTTTCTTTTGGCTTCTGGTAAAGTGGGATTATCTATTCCCTATGTTTTTGTGAGTGTAGTTAACTTCCTTGAGTTGGAATTTTCCTTCTAGAACTTTATGTAGGGCTGGATTCGTGGATATGTATTGTGTAAATCTGGTTTTGTCATGGAATATCTTGTTTTCTCCATCTATAGTGATTGAGAGTTTTGCTGGGTATAGTAGTCTGGGCTGGCATCCATGGTCTCTTAGTGTTTGTAGACCATCTATCCAGGATCTTCTGGTCTTCAGAGTTTCCATGGAGAATTCAGGTGTAATTCTGATAGGTCTTCCTTTATATGTTACCTGGCCTTTTTCCTTCGCTACTCTTAATATTCTTTCTTCATTCTCTATGTTTGGTGTTTTGATTATTATGTGTTGAAGAAACTTTTTTTTTTTGGTCCAGTCTATTTGGTGTTTGGTATGCTTCTTGTACTTTCACAGGCATGTCCTTCTTTAGGTTGGCAAAGTTTTCTTCTATTATTTTCTTGAATATGTTTTCTACACCTTTGAGCTGGGCTTTTTGCCTTCTTCTATACCTATTATTCTTAGATTTGGTCTTTTCACGGTGTCCCACATTTCCTGGACATTTTGTGTTAAGGATTTGTTGGACTTAAGCTTTTCTTTGATCGATGAACCTATTTCCTCTAGTGTACCTTCAGCGCCTGAGATTCTCTCTTCCATTGCTTGTATTCTGTTGGTTATGCTTGCATCTGTAGTTCCTGATCGTTTACCCAGCTTTTCTATTTCTAGCATTCCCTCAATTTGTGTTTTCTTTATTGTCTGTATTTCAGTTTTCAGGTCAGTCATCTATTTGTTTCTTTCTTAGCTTTCCTTAAGAGATTTGTTGTTTCTTGGATTTTTTTTGGTTTGTCTTTTCCTCTATTTCTTCCAAAAAAAATTTTTTTTCCATTTCTTTAAGGGATTTTCTCATATCCTCTTTGAGGGCCTCTATCATTTTCATGAAGTCACTTTTAAGGTCATTCTCTTCTTCATCAGCTTTGGAATGTTCAGGTCTTGTTGGTGTAGAGTCCCTAGATTCTGGTGGTGTCATATTGGCCTTTCTATTGTTGAATGTGTTCTTGTACTGTTGTCTTCCCATCCCTTCTTCCAGTGGGTGTAGGTGGGATTTCTCTCTGCACTTTGGTCTCCCAGTGTGTATAGGTGGGTTAGGACTTCAATGTCAGTAACTCTGGATGGTCTGAGCTCTCTTGGAGATCTCAAGTAGAGGGTGTAGAGGGTCCAAGATTGAGGTGAGGGCTAGCTCCGGATGGTCAGGCATGGTGGGGCAGGTCTGCTATGCACAGAGCTGACCCAGGAAGTTCCAAGTAGAGGGTAGGGGTGTTGGACCTGAGCTGGCCAAACAATAACCTTAAGCCGAGGGCGTAGGAGGACCACGGCTGAGAGAAGGGCAGGCTCAAATGGTCCAGTGGGGCAGGATGGGGTGGGGTGGGTCTGGTCCACTCAAGCAGAGCGTGTAGGGGAGTTAAGATGAAGAACCAACTCAGGAAGTTCCAAGGGAAGGATGAGGGGAGGGAGGTTGGACCTGAGCTGGCCCTAGACTTACCTCAAGCAGAGAGGGCATAAGGGACCAAGACCTCATGAGGTAAAGGCAAGCTCTGGATGGTCCATCATGATAGGGCGGGTCCACTATGTGTAGAGTCAACCCAGGGAGTTCTAAAGAGAGGGTGGGGAGTGTTGGACGTGAGCTGGCCAAACACCCCAAGCAGAGGTCATAGGAGGGCCAAGGCTCTAATTAAGACTTTTTTTTTTTTTTTTTTTTACCTTATCTGTGTGTCTAATTTTAATGCTGTTAAATGTATATGTATCCACAAGAAGATAAATTTTGTTTTTTAAAATAACTTTCAATTTTTGATGGCAATCCCATAGTAAGCTACATAGGAATAGTTATCTGGTTAAAATTTACATGCTTTATTTATTTATTTATTTATAATGTCTAGGGCTAGACATTATCTAGCATATGACTCATGCTCATTGATGGCAGAGTGAATATATAGCTGTCCTTCTATATTCACAGGACTGGGTATAGGACTCAAATCTTCAGATACTTCTTTTGCATAAAATTCCAAAAAACTTGCATTTAACTTGTGTACATCTTACTATGTACTATAATGTATCTCTAGATGGCATATATCTTGTATGGCATAAATCTAGGTTATAATGTACTATTGAGGCACTAATGATAAAAATCAAGGTTCTACAGACTTAGCATAGTAATTTTTAATATTTTTCTACCTGTGATTAATTAAATCCTCAGAGGTGGAAATCATAAATATGGAGGTCCCACTGTATCATAAAAGGCAAGAAGGATGGTTTACAGAATAATACCGTAGTTACTTTTTATTGAACACTTTTTAAATTTAATTTTCTGTTCCAATCCAAAGCTTTTCCTATTTAAACTCATATCACAGATCTAGTGGTGTAACTTAGCAGCAGAGAGCTTGTGTGACATATGCCAGGGCCAAGGTTCATCTCTAGCACCACAAAGAGAGTAAGTTCTGATCATGATCTCTCATATTGCTTTTTATGCCTCCATATGTGGTTTGGAAAACTGTTTCTAGGTTTTCATAAGTATAAGTAAGAAGGTGGCATGTTTTGGTGTGCATGGGTTGATCCCAGATCCCTTATTCATGGGATACCCTATGGCTGAACTAGATTCTCAACCTAAAAATTTGACTCTTCTCTATTTTAGATTTTGCCCTTAAGAAAGAATGATTAAGGCAAAGGTCATATACCCCTTTAACATTGCTTATAAACTGCCAGAATACATTTTAGAAAGATTCTGTAACTTCCCTACCAATGGTGTACCAACAGTGTTGCCAAATTAGTTTTTAAAATTCTCTTACTTCTTTAAAAGTGATTAAATATTTGAAAACACAATTTTCTATTGTATGCTTCAAAATTAATGGACAAGAATAAGCAAATTGCTACTGTAATTTTCATGTTATCTCCTTCCATGTCTTGGAAAAAAACCTTCTGGGCAGCTGGGTGGTGGTGGCACACACCATTAGTTCTAGTACTCAGGAGGCAGAGGCAGGTGTAGCTAAGGCTACATAGGAAAACCTGTTTCAATGAGCAAAGGGGTCAAGACCAGGCTGTGTAAACCCTCAGAAAAAGCTGACCTGAACAAGGAGAAGTTCATGGTCCCTAGACTGATAGCTGGGAGACCATCATAGAGCTGACCCAGATCCCCTGAATGTGGATGTCAGTTAGGATGCCTGAGCAGTCTATGGCAATGGATCAGTATTTATCTCTAGTGCATGAATGGACTTTGGGAGCCCATTCCCCATAGAGGTATACTCTCAGCCTAGATACAAGGGGGAAGGCCTAGGACCTGCTCCAAATGATGTGACAGACTTTGATGATCCCCCATGGAATGCCTCACCCTCCCTGGGGAGCAGAAAAGGGATGAGATGGAATGGGATGGGGGTTCAATGGGGGACATGGGAGGATGGGAGTGAGAGGTAACTGGGATTGATGTGCAAAATAAGATTATTTCTAATTTAAATTAAAAAGAAAATAAAAGACTTGCTGGTCATGGTAGTGTACACCTTTACTTTCAGCACAGGGAGATCTTTAACGCCAACCTGGTCTACATAGCATAGTACTACATAGTGAAACTCTGTTTCAAAGAACAAACAAAAAACAAATGCAAACAAGAAAAAAATTCATCAGATTGTTGTTTTCTGGTGCTTTCTTTGTGTGTGTTCTTCTCAGATTCAGGAATTCTGGGGCTTCAGCCCATAGACTTTGTCGCAGATATTCATCAACATTCAATAAATGGTAGACAAGAGGAGATTCCCGTGGTCATTGCTGCCTCTGAAGACAGGCTGGGTGGGACAATTGCAGCCATAAATAGCATTCATCATAACACTCGCTCCAATGTGATTTTTTACATTGTTACGCTCAACAGTACAGAAGACCATCTCAGGTGAGCACAGCTTTCCTAATGACTCTGCCTGTACCCAATGCTCTTCACTGATCTACTGCTAAGCCAGGAACCATTTTACATTGTATTTTTCTGTTTCATGTTTTAACACATACACACACACATTTTTTTTATGTGATTGTTGTAACAGAAATGATAATTTATGTCAGGAACTAAACTAGTTGTCACACTGTTAATTCCTGTTTAGTAATAGGTCTAATGTTTGGCAACCTGACTTTCTGAATAAGGGAGGTAATATATTTATTTACTAGTCACAGCTTCTTACTGATACGTATGCACAAAGCACTGGGTTCAATTCCTAGCATCACAGAAACTGGACGTGGAGGTTCATTCCTGTCATTCCAACACTCAGAATTATGATCCAGTAGGATCAGAAGTTCCAAGGGCATCCTTGATTATAGGCTGGGGTATAAGAGACTGCCTTAAAAAAATTAAAAACAAAAATCTACAGAAGTTATTCTAAAAAGCAGCTTGTGTGACAAAGTGTCAGAGTTCTCAATATTTCTGTCCTTAAGGCTTTTTCCATGGGTCACCTTCATGAAAATTCTGTTCTCATTCTTAAAAAACTATGAGGTATAGAAACATATTGCAGGTTTATAATGGACTAGAAAAAAAAATGTATAGTGCTTCTGCAGATAACATGGGCTGTTCTTACAGTGTCTTACAGAGTCAGGTGGGTGAATTTCTTAGGTTCATTAAAGTAAATAATCATTCTATAGCTGACAGATTGAATACTAGCTTTATTGATGACTAGCTTTTACTACCATTATAATTTGAGTCAGTTTTTGGAAAACTAAAAATTTTATGGCCCAACTGGACATGGTGGTGCACCCTTGTAATCTCATCATTTGGGTGGCTGAGGGAGAATAGTGAATTCAAAGTTACCCTGGGCAATGTAATAAGACAGTGCCTCAAGAAAAGAAATAAAGACTATGTTTTGTCAGATTGTTCTCAAGTCTAGAGTAGTACCTACAGCAAAGTTTTGGGAGAAGAGATTTTCCCATAGATTCTTGGTTGAGAAGGAACTTTAGTGGGAATGCCTTCATCTCAGGTTAAGAACCCATAGTATTAGAGAGATAAAGAACTTGACACATTTATTTGGTACCTTGGGTTTTTCTTTTATTGCATTATAACACAGTTAGAAAAGCATAGAAAGATAAGGCTATATTTCAGAAGCATGATTGTTTAAGACTGTAATGTGTTTTTCTTCATCAGGTCCTGGCTTAACAGTGTTTCCCTGAAAAGCATCAGGTACAAAATTGTAAATTTTGACACTAAACTTTTGGAAGGGAAAGTAAAGGAGGATCCTGACCAAGGGGAGTCCATGAAACCAGTGAGTTACATGCATCTTTATTTCTATTGGGGTGTGTATTTGATTAGAATAGTTGGATAACTCATGGTACAGTGCAAGTAGTTCCCTTGGGACCAAACCTGAGCAGCATCAGCCTGTCTTTTATAAGGGTTCTGAGATCATTTTAATAGCTTCAACAAATAAGAGCCCAGCTATCCTGTGCTGATGCTTCTTTCCTTTTCAGTTAACCTTTGCAAGGTTCTACTTGCCAATTCTGGTTCCCAGTGCAAAGAAGGCCATATACATGGATGATGATGTCATTGTACAAGGTACCAAAGAATGGGTTCTTCATCTGGATTCTGGGCTGTAAGGGTTATACTATGATCATTGTGGGAAGCTGTGTATTTGGGGTTGCAGTTGTAGCCAGCTGACTAGCCCAAGGTTCATTCCTGAGAGGGGGAGTGTGGACAAAAAAGGGCTAGCTAAAGGAAGAGAGACAAGACAGAGACACAGGAATATTGTCAGATGGGCCATTCAGTCCATATTCAATGCTGAACGCCCTTAGTTTATGCTTTAACAATCTTAAGTACCCAACCAAAAGTGGGGACAATGACAGAAGACTTCTATCATCATGTATAAGGGGTAAACAGACTTCCTTCCTTTAATCCTCCAGGTATTTTGTAGCCACACCTGCCATCAGGCCTTCAGGGTCAAGAGTAAACACCTGAGCCTAAGTCTGTTATTTAGGTAAAGACATCTGCTACCAAGGCCAAAATATCCTTCAGCAGCCAAGCTATAGACTTATAGGTATAAGGACAGTTTTGAACTCGCTGATCTTTAGTCAAGGTGGAGTGGAGCTATCATGGGTCCTGACAGATGATCTGCTACAAAAGGCAATTAGAAGTGGGAGGAACAGATTGCAGCGTGGTGGCGGTGCACACCTTTAATCCCAGCACTCAGGAGGCAGGCAATCTCTTGAGTTCGTGGCCAGCCTGGTTTACCAGAATGAGTTCCAGGACAGCCAGGACTACACAGAGACTGTTTCAAAAAAAAAAAAAAAAAAAAAAAAATAGAAGCAACAGAATCTCAAGGCAACTGCAAAGTGTTCATTTCACTTTGTTCACTGTCCATTTCAGGCGATATTCTTGCCTTGTACAATACACCACTGAAACCAGGACATGCTGCTGCATTTTCAGAAGATTGTGATTCAACCTCTACTAAAGTTATCATCCGTGGTGCAGGGAACCAGGTAAATTACTTACTGCAAATCTTACTCCCTGTGAAAGCTTGAAGTGGTAAATTCAAGGCTCAATCTTACATTAAACAGTTACTTCACTCTAGAACGCATGCCTATTTTCCATAGATTCATTTATGGACTTTACAACCAAATTCTCCTTGGATATTCTGCTAAGACAAACTTTGGATCCCAAATGTCACTTTTCCTAATAACTTGAGACGTCTCCTTAGTTCAACTACTGACTTTGGTATAAAAATTTTTCTCATGTGAAGCAGCAAATATCTCACTTGTGTTTCCAGTACAATTATATTGGCTATCTTGACTATAAAAAGGAAAAAATTCGTAAGCTTTCTATGAAAGCCAGCACCTGCTCCTTTAATCCTGGAGTTTTTGTTGCAAACTTGACTGAATGGAAAAGACAGAATGTAACTAACCAGCTGGAAAAATGGATGAAGCTTAATGTAGAGTAAGTATGGAACTGGTATAGCTATTATAAGTCTTTATTAACAGAAGTTTGTCAATCCTCTTCACTAATACTTTGTCTTACCAGAGAGGGAGTCTACAGCAGAACACTGGCTGGTAGCATCACCACACCTCCACTGCTTATTGTATTTTACCAACAACACTCCACCATTGACCCAATGTGGAATGTCCGCCACCTTGGTAAGTTCAAGCTGGGTATGGTGGTAATCCTAGCACTTGGAAGGCAGTAATACTACCCTGAAAATCTGAAGTCAGACAGAGCCACTGATGTAAACTAATCAGAAATTGATGTCTAAGAACTCCTCCTTTGAGTTTCCCTTAAGGTACCTACCTACAGCTTAGCATGGCATTGCTTTGACTTACTATTAGTCATTTGGCACTATTTCTCTATTTAAGGTTCCAGTGCTGGAAAACGGTATTCACCCCAATTTGTAAAGGCTGCCAAATTACTTCACTGGAATGGTCACTTCAAGCCTTGGGGAAGAGCTGCTTCATATGCTGATGTTTGGGAAAAATGGTATGTTCCAGACCCAACAGGCAAATTCAGTTTAATCCGAAGACATATGGATACCTCAAACATAAAGTGAACTACAATTAAGCTAAATGCAGCACTCAGGAAATCCTGAAAGACACATGTGGGAAGTTAACAGTGTTAAGGCTTGAGTCTCTATAGCAACCTACAGAAAAGGGGATGCTTCAGCTGGGTAGAGATCACAAATTGCTTCTGTGGCATCCAGCTTCCCAGATGACTATGTCTCCGTCTGCCTTACCAAATGTGTGCTTAACTATAATATTGCTGCTGAAGGATGGACCATTACTAGTTCCATTAACTGCTGTAGTTAGGAGGAATTGCAGCTTGGTTTTTTTAACTTGTGGCCCAGTAAGTGAAATCTACATTTTTTAAAATAAATCTTTGCTTCCAGACAACTAATCCTCTTCCCTATACTGTAATAGTGTAAACACTGCTTCTCTCCCAGAGTTCAGTTTCCAGCATATCCAGGAGATCCAATGCATTCTAGAATTCCCACCCTATCTACTCACCCACTCACACACATTCTTTTGAGATAGGATTTCTGTGTAGCTGTCCTGGACTTTGTCTGCAGACCAGGCTGGAATCCAACTCAGATTTTATCTGCCTTTGCCTACCAAGGGCCAGAATTAAAGGTGTGTACCACCATGCCTGGCCATAAATAAATCTTAAACACAAATGCATGTAAGCACTTTGTAGTTTGTTTTTAATGTATATTATATAACATGATACATATTCACAAGATTTATAGTTTGTGTCATGCCAATCTGGGACAGTGTACACAAAACATTTTAGTATCTGTAGCAGTTATACATAATCTGTTTTAAAGTCATAGGCATCACCCTCTTGACTCATTTCAGCCAAAGTAACTGATCCGTCAGATGGTTTATCTGTATAGGAGAAAATATAAAGGAAAATTTTATACACAAAAATAAAAGTGATTGTGCTCAAACTATGTTGTTATAAGTCCTTTGTCCCAGACTCACTTGCTGTTGATTCCACAGGTAACATCTCCCCATTGTCTTCTACAGGGGGTATATCTGAGCTCTCTGTCTGTGAACCAAAAAAATGTGATGTGTAATTAACAGCCCAGTAGATAGGGTAAATCGGTCCTGGGTAGCATACATAATTAGCAATTCCTAAAATGGTTCAGTCTGAAACACCCAAACAGTAGTACAACTACAAATTATTGTTTCTACCCTTGACCCCTCCCCTTTTCTACGTTGCAATGCTAGAAAATTTACTTGAGCTTTAATTCAAGAAACAAAACTTACCTTATTTTCATCATCATTTCCTTGATCTTCACTGTCCTGTTTGTTTTCTTTCTGTCTTGGCAATTCATCGGGTATGTCCATTTCTTCTATTACTCCACTTGTGGGGCCCGAGGACCGGAAAAGGATTCTATTAGTTAAATGAGGCCCCTTGAGGACTAGAGGAAAGGAATAAAACTCATGTTAACAGGTAAGGCTAGCATCCTGTCACTGTTAAATTCATCAATATATCAGGGAAAAAAAAATTCACCTCGTATGCTATGTGCATTATTTATTTCCAGTTCTTCTAGATTAAAGCCTTTCTTCATGTTTGCTGCAACATTTTCATTAAAATGTGGAGAAGGATTCCAGGATGCAGGAGGGTGACAGTAGTAACCTAATGAAGCACTGGCATTAAAAATAAGATCTGTCAAATACAGTTCAACCCCTTCATTCTATATTGTCTTCAGTGCCGATACAAAGAAACCTTACCCTGTCCACTCAGACCACAGTAGTTTAGCAGCACTTTCGATATTCGGGGTTCCCCCTTTTTGGTGCAGACCTCTTTTCTGAGCAAGTTTGGTAAAAAAATCCAGAGAATCCTTATACCCTGGGACAGTGTATTTTAATACCACCTTAAAAACAAAACATGACTGTCAATCTGTGTAGACAAAGAACAGTGGTGAGGAGCTCAAGGGGTGTTTATTGTTTTACCTGTTGACTATCAGCCTGGGACAGAATGGCACTGGCGGCCTCTAATGGTCTCAGTGCTTCAATGCTCACTGGACTCCGCAGGGCAAGTGCAGCAGAGGAGTTACATGGTGAGACAATCAAGCATGGACTGTCTATGATTGTGACCTGCTTGTCCAAAGGGACAATCTGCATGCTCCTGGAAAAGATGCAATTAACAGGGATACTGGCCTATTGAAATGGCAAGATGACATGAAGCTCAGGGTTGGATTGAACAAACTCAGCACAGGAGTCAGATCCAATTTGTCATCACTGCTTCATGTTTTATGTGAAACCACAACATACAGAACCCTTCTAATGTAAGTAACCGACCCAAACTTCACTGTTACTTCCTTATCTCTTCAAGACCTGGACCAAGACCTTTGAAGCAGCTTTCCTCAAGCTTTCAAACACAATTGTAGGTAGCTGGCCCTTTCCAAACCATTTTCCGAGCCCAACACCAACTGTCTTTTACTGGTGTCTTTCTAATTACTGGGTTTTATTTACCTTGTAAGTCCCATAGGAACTCCAACAGTACATATCCGCTCTTGTTTTACGCTATTAATGATGCTGCTTTTCCCCACATTTGGGAAACCTACAAATAAAGGTAAATTTAGATTATAAAACTCATTTTCTAGTAGTTGCCTTGCCCATACCAGGTAAGTGTTCTAGATGCCAAGAGCTCTTAGATGCCAACATATATATGCACACATATTGCCAAAAATACATTTGAGCACAAGCCCTTTCTTTTGTAATTAAGCCGTTCACAATGTGATATCCTTAGTTAAGTATCTTTAGACTTAAAAGAAGGTAAACATGCTGAATGAAACTTACCAACTACTCCAACCTGAATATCTTTCCCACATGACTGCTGGAAACTTCTAAGAAGCTTACAAAGAGCTTCCTTGCCACAGCAGAGTTTACTTTGGAATGGAACTACTTTCTTCTTCACCTTTGGTCCAAAAAACAAAACAAAACCAAAACAAACAAACAAACAAAAAAAAAAAAACCAAAATACAGTGGTTTTAATAATTTCATCAAGTATCATTAGGTGTAACCCAGTAAGTCTGGCACCAGAGTCTGTCTGGCTTTTAGAGAAGCCACTAGCCTCTACTGCCTTTCAGATGATCTTGTGATGAAATCAGAGTTGGATCTTATTGTTTTTCACCTTAATCAACATTTTGCATACTCATCATATTTCAATCATCACAAACCCGGGGAAAACCACATTCACACCACTAATAGTACAGTGTAGTGTACCTTGAGCATCTTCTTCTCTCTGCTTTTCATGTTTGTTGAAGCTTTGAACACCACTGTTGGCAATTCTTTACTCAAATAATTTAGCCAGTTCTCCAAATTCTCCTTTGGTACTAGATCTGGTAATTGGGAAAAGACATGCTTCAATTTGGAGGTTTTAAGACTAATTTATGAAATGTGGTAAACTATTAACTGTATTCCTTTACATTTCTCCATTCTTTCAAAAGGAATTAAAGGCAAAAGGAAACTTCCTGTCATGCCACCTGTGTCTTTATATGTTATTACACCTTCATTTTTATTTTCCTACAGTCCTGTGTTCCCACCATGTAGTTGAGAATGACCTTGAACTTTGGAACCTCCCTTGGTCCTCTGTGATGGCATTGCAGAAGCATGCTTGGTTTTATGTGGTGCTAGACAACAAACCACCTTTTGAGTGAGTACTAGGCAGGAACTGCCCAACTGTGCTACTTTTGAATCTCAGTATCTCCAGTACTCCTCACTTAATTTAAGGACTAGGTCAACCCATGCCCAGTATTCCTCACCTAAGAGGTACATAACTGATTTTTAAATCACTTTCTTTTATTTTCTCTATGAAATACCTCCCCCATTTGTTGAGGCTTATAAACCACTACTTGCAATTTCTTATTAAAATTTAGCCAATTCTCCTTTCAAATGCTTTCTCTACATGCCTGTCTTCTGGGTTCTCTTCTTCCTGCTGCTCAAGCCCACCCAGACAATCATTTATTTTGTCCTTAGTAACTTATCTTTGCACCCCAGATTAGAGCAGAGCTATCAGTTCCTATATGAAACACAGCAGTTACAGAAACTCTCTTAAAACTAAAGAGACTAAGTATAGAATAGCAGAACAGGAAAGTCCAGTTGAATCATCTGTAGAAACCACCTCTTCCGCCACCCCCACCAGTCCTTGGCAACCAGAGTGCACATGCATTGGTTTTCTTGAGGTCAGAGTTGGATCTTATCAGTCTTCAGTGAGAATCAAGACTGTTCAGACATTTTCCTCATACCTCACAAGTGCACATACAGGAGATAAAGGGGCTCATTTCTACTCACCTGATTTATTTAATACAAGTATCAGCCTTTTATGTCCACTTTGGACAACAGCTTCTTCTACTTGAGGACACCTGGAACCAAGAGGATCTCTGGCATCCAAAACCTCTAACACAACATCTGAGGCCTCAATCACCTGCCAAGTAAGAAACCATGGGAACAACATTCCTCGTTGAGTAACAAGCACCCTCAACTGTGGCCATGAGCCCAGAAGACAGGCTCCCCATGTTTTTATTTAGTATGAAAAATGTTGACAATATTTCCTAAACAGTGAAGTCAAGTAACCATGCCCAGCAGCCTCTCCCTGATAAAACACCGGTCTCTGAAGTGGACAAAACAAGATGAGGTCAGAACATGTGGTCCTCCCACAATGAACTGTGTGGTTTAATGGACCTTCTTAGAAATTGCTGAGCAGGAATAGCCAGTTTCTGGCAACAGATGAGAGTGAGGGTGTGTAGTGCTAGGAAGCAAGTGCAACAAGACTCTACCACCCACTCTCTTGACTGCAACCATTCCCAAGTATTCCCACTTTACAAAGGAGCTCTCAGTTTCTAAAGTTTTATTACCACTTTTGACACTGACCTATACTAAGATACCTTTTTAAGTTCCTGACAATGCAATTTCTTTGGATTCTGTTTGCCTGGTTTAGCTTTCTTGCTCTTTGGTTCTTCAAATTCCTAAACGATATAAAAAAAAAAAAAAATATATATATATATATATATCAAATCAGAAACAGCAGTCATTACCAGTATATTAACATTTCCACAGATGATATATTTAAACAGGAAACAATGTACATTCCAGATTATTCCTTCACTACTTCTATTTCTGCTCCCGAGCACTAGTTATTTCTAAGGAGATACCCTACCTGCTGGGGTTCCACGTTAGTCTGCTCATCATCAGGGTTATCTTCAAGTTTTCTTTTCCTTTCCTGCTCTTTTTGCCTATCAAGTTTCTGCTGCTGCTTTAGTTCTTCAAGCTGTATCAGAGCCACAAAGAAATGAATGAGCTGTAGGCTGATGCTGTTAATTTACTCTAGACACCACATACACTTACCACATTCAGGAAGCCTCAGCTCACAGAATTTACCTGCTGTTTCCTTAGTTCAGCCTCACGTAGAACAGCCTCTTTAAAGGGAGCACTATTTGGAATTCCAGGGTCCTTCCTAGGCTTCTTGTGACCCCGTTTTTTAGCTTCCTTCCTCAATTTTCGATGATGTTCTCGAACCTATTAACAACACCATGAGAAGGTCGAAGAAGGGTGCTTGTGTAGCATTCTTGAGTCCATGGGTTCAATTGTACAAAAGTAAGGAAAAAATCCTCACCCTACAAAACTTTACCACTTAGAATTTAGGCAATAAAGCAGAGTGTTGGTGGTGCATGCCTTTAATCCTTGCACATGGGAAGCAGAAGCGGGGGTGGGGTGGGTGGAGGGTAGTCTCTGAGTTCCAGACCAGCCTGGCCTACAAGGACAGTCTCTAAAGCTACACAGAGAAACCCTGTCTCGAAAAACAAAAAGATTTTAGGCAATAAGCCAATCTTAGACAAGATTTATAATGTATGTCAAGCACCCTAGAAAGATGTTACTTCAATTGAAACCATACACTGAATACATATGAATAAGACAGAAAAATTAGAGTTCTTTGTAAAGATTATGTTACTGTCCAGTTTCACCTTTCACCCTGTACTTTCCCACAGCTGCATTCTTCATTCTTTATGTTTAAGAGCTTGTATCCAAGTCCAATCCCCAAATCATTAATAGAGCCTTCCTCATGGAGAGAGGTCTTCCAGTAACACTTACCTTCTTTTGGATCTTATACCGCTTATGACAGGTCATACGTTTGCTTGCTTTCTTTAACTCTGCAAAAACAAACAAAAAAACTAATTAGTGAAAGTCTGTATACTTGAGCAGTAACCTAGTTGTTTTTACTTTCTAAAATTATGTGTATGGATGTTTTGCCTGCTCTTGTCTGGGAACTAACCAGACATGTAGTGCTCTTGCAGAGGAAGCCATGAGGGCTTCATCGCCCCACCCCAAAGCTGACATGTGGGTGCTGGGACTCAAACCCTGGTCTTTTTGAAGAGCATCCAGTGCTCTTTAATGCAAAACTTCCTTTCCATTCCCCCCCACCAAAAAAATATTTCACTTATTTATCAAGTGCTTAGGCCATATACCTGGCCCTCAAGACATCACCTTATACTTAACATTGACCACAACGTTTTGACGTACTTTACTTATAGTAAGGGTCAACCACCAATTTAGATGAGACTCACGGGGGTGAGAGGGATTTGAAGATGGAAATATGCCTATAATCACAGCACTTGGCGGCCGAGACAAGGAGGACCGGGAATTTAGGGCTAGCCTGGACCACAAAGATCTTGCCTCAACCTTCCCTGCAAAATTATGCCGGATATTCAATATGACCCAGTACACACGGAAGGAAACCAGCTTCTAGAGCATCACAAATCGCAAGACGAAGCAGAAGGCTTCTCCTTTTGAGTTTTTGCGCCCAGGCTGGCTGCAGACTATGGACTGCAGACTACCGCGTTACTCTTACGTGTACAGAACTGCGAACACGCGCCACTGCCGACCGACTGTGGTTTTGAATAATCCTTTAACGAAAGAAAATCGCCGGGCCCAAAACAGCCTAAGGCAAGTCAGCCGGACAAATATGGTTCAGTCTTTACCTTATGGGCCTAGCTTTCCTTCTACAAAGCAGCCCTGGTGAACGAGGCCGAGGTCGGGCCTGGCCTGGGCCTTGCAACTCTCAGCGGCACGGGGAACGGAGCAATGGCCTGCGAATTTCCCCGCCTGCAGCTAGGAAGAGCAACCTCCCGGCTCGCGGGCTACTCCCACCTCCCGACCCCACTTACTCGGCCGCTTCATGCTGGCAGCGAACCCTCCAGGAGCAGAAGCGGTCCCGGCTACAGTGTCTCCTCGGGCGCCACGTGCGGACTGAAGCTGCGGCCCAACGTCAAGCGCTCAAGCTCCTGCCGTAAAGTGAGCCGGCGCCCCGTCGCGTGCGCGCGCACGCCCCGTCGCACGGAGTCGGCATCGCTTGGAGGCCACGGGTTGGGTTTACGGCAGCACTGGGAGGGGTGAGGGCGGTAAGGGCGGCGGGTGCCGGAGCGACGGCAGCGGCCGCGGCCCAGAGGAGCAATAGCAGCCGTGGCGGCCACGGGGCGGGGCGCGGCGGTCAGGGACCGCGGCCGGGGCTGCAAGCGGCGGAGCGGCGCGGTAAGGCCGGGCCCGGGGCGGGCGGGGCCGCTCCTTCTCGGCCAGCCGCCGGGCCTTTGTGTCGGCCCGGGCGGGCTAGAGCCGCGGCGGAGGCCCCGCCCCGCGGTGCGGACGCGCTGGTCGGGCTGGGCGCGGGGCGGGGCGGGGCACGGCATGGCCGCGGGCCTCGGGACAGGCCCGGCAGCCGGTCCGGCCGCACCTGCCGGCCGGTCGGGACAAAGGCGGACCGGGCCCCCACTCCCCACGCTGCTCTTTCCCGCCGGTCGCCGGGCGGGCGGCTACAAAGCTGTCAACGTTCCTTTAGCCCGCAGAGCCAGTGACAGGTCGGGCACACTCTTCTTTTCCTCCGCCTCTCAAGGCCTCCTTTTTTGTGTGGCAAAAAATTCCCCCTAATGAGTTTTTGGTTGTATTTTTTTTCCCCCATTTCCTTGTGACTGCCCAAACCGAATATTTTTGTCGGCGAGACATTTATTTAGAGGTTTGGTACTTCAGCTTCTCATCTACAACGTCACGACGAATCGGGTTTTTTTTTTTTTTAAACTGTATTTTCTGGTTTTAAAAATATTTTCCGCCTCAGAGTTTTTTACTTTCTGGAAAAGAAGTGTCTTACTGTTAAAATGTTTGATTTGAAAGGGGAGGCAAAAATACAAAATTCCTGGAAAACAAATGACAAATACACAATAAAGTGGATATAGAAATTCTAGGAGTAACTGTAGAAGTTTATGTTGGTTCAAGCTATCTTAATCCAAACTTTTCAAAAATGACTTTACAGTCAGGCACAGTAGAACACACATATTGTTCCAGCCCTTAGGAGGTCGAGACAGGAGGAGGGCAAGTTTCAGTCCAGCTTAGGTTACATAGTGAGACCTTTTGCGGGTAAAAATTAAAAAAAAAAAAAAAAAGTGGTTATAAGTGTCTTTCTCTCCCTCATTTATTAGTGTTCCTTTTCCCAAATATAATTCAGAAGCATGTTGGACTTGGTTAAAGAGGTTAAAGAAGATAGCTTTTGCTTTAGTAGTCTTTAACATACCAAATGAATGATTAGACAGTATCCTCTTTTCTCTTTGACCTGGCCTTACTTTGTTGCCAGGTTGATTTTAAGCTCATATTCTCCTGCCTCCTCTCCTGAATGCCGCATTTACAGTGCCACTACTGGAGGGTGAAGGGAGTGAGGGATAGTGTATTTTGAAGAAATGTTTGGGATCAAAACAGTAACAGTAAAGTGGGAATGGAAGAAGGGATGACTTTTCCATTGGAATATAAAACATAGCTCAGATAGTATCTGTGATCATAATTAGGACATCAGTCATTGAGAAGGATGCTGAGTTGGTAGCTTCTGTAAGTTAGAACACAGTTGCAAAATATATGGTTTCTATCACTTTGTTTATGGAAAAGGTAGTTGGGTTGGATTGGAGTTCAGTTGGTAGAGTGCTTGTCTGGTATACGTGTGAAGCACTAGGTTCAGTTCCTCAACACTGCTTAAAATTGAGCATGGTGGCATATGATTGTAATCCGAGCATTTAGCATGAGTAGGAGGCAGGAGGCGCAGAAATTAGAGTTCTGAGTTCAACACTAGTTAGGAATGTATGAGACCTTGTTGCAAAAAAAAAAAAAAAAAAACCAAGAAAGAAAATACCAATAAAAGACAACTGAGGCATAAATATTAAAGGGTGGTTTTCCTGTAGGAAGTATGATTATAATTACTTGCTTTTTTTGGTCTTTGAGTTATCTTCTTAACCAAGATTTTTTTTTGTTTTAAGTGTGTGTTATAATACTAAATATTACTAAAAAAAAAAATACTAAAAATACCAGAATACTAAAAGGTAGTAAGTTGTCAGATATTTTACTTATACTAGCTACTTGCACAGCTACACATTTTTAGGTACTTTTTTTTTTAACTTACTTTGTATATGTGTGCATGTGTATATACAGGGTAGAAGCCCATGGCATTGTCTTCCTCTATTGCTTTCCACTTTTGTTTATGTTGAGGTCTGTTCATTTTTGTTTTATGTGTATTTTATGCCTCTGTGTATGGCTGTGTACCATGTGTGTGCCTGGTGCCTGAAGAAACTAGAAGAGGGGCCCCTGGAACTGGATGGTTTTAGTTCTCATGTAGGCGCTAGAAATCTAATCCAAATCTTCTAGAAGAGCAGCCAGTGCTCTTAACCTCTGAGCCATCTCTCCAGGTCTTAATTTTTAAGATAAGGTCTTTCATTAGACATGGGGCCTGCTGATTTGGCTAGCTGTCAGCAAAACCTAGTGATCCTCCTGTCTTTACTCCTCTTCCTGCTCCCCTAGTGCTGGGGTCAGAGGTCCCAACAGCTGTGCCTAACTTACATGTGGGTGCTGGTGATCTGAACTCAGGCCCTCGTGCTTGCTTGGCAGGCACTTTCACTTTGCTATCTCCCCAAACCACTCAAGTATTTATTGTCCAATGGAAGTGTCTACAAGCATTGTAAGACTCTTGAATTTTTTACTGTAAATAAGGCATTCTAACATCTAGAATTAAAACTCCAGAATCTCTTATTTTCTGCTTGTAAATAGATAATGAAGTGATGCTTAGAGACTGTTTTTGAATCACACAAACTTTTGCTTTAAACATCTCATGCATTTTCATTACATTTATCTTATTTGCAGCACTTTTATAGGATGGGGCTGCAAAAATAAAGAGGACCCAGTTCTTGTGCCTAGGGAACTAAAGAGTTATGCTTTGAAAGTTCAAAGTATTTAATCTATGTTGTTTCTTCACTATCAGAGGGTGTAGGTGCACTTTACTGTTTTCATTTATTTTGTTTTTAAATAGTTTACTTTCATTTCATTTGTATTGGTATTTTGCCTGCATGTATGTCTGTGTGAGGATGTCAGATCTTGGAGTTACAGACAGGTATGAGCTGCTGGGAATTGAACCTGAGGTCTCTAAGGAAGATCAGCCAGTGCTCTTAACCGTTGAGTCATCTCTCCAGCCCCTTGTTTTGTTTTGTTTTGAGGCGACCTTGAACTGGCTCCACCTCTGGCTTCTGGCTCCACCTCAGTGCTTGTATTACATGTGTGCACCACCATGCCCAGTTCCATGTGGTGCTGGGGATTGAATGTTGGGCCCCCACCTCCTAGGCAACCACTCTTCTAACTTAGCTATTTGCCTAGTTCTTACTTTCATTTAAACATGAAGAAATAGATCTGAGAAGTTGTGATTTGGGTGGTATCAAACAGACAATTAGAGGTAGAAGGTCTGGGACTCCTGGTGCAGACCCATTGTCTCTTCCACACTGCATGTACACTTTGGATAAGAAAATGTGAAGACCATCCTTCCCATGCATCTTTTTCTTGTCTTTTGAAAGCGTAATGATCATTAAAGGATTGTGACTATTTTATCATCTAAAACTGCAACATACTCAGTACTAATAATTTACGTTTTTTGTCATTTGCTTTCCAGTGCATTATAAAAAGCAGTCATTTTGAACTGCTAAAATAATTGAAGACTTCGTAAAGCCCTGCTAAACTTAAATGCTGTGTGTTTGCAGTGCAGATAGAACTTTTGGAAAGAAATGTTTTTCTCTGACACTTGGGTGGAGGGGAGGAAGAATTTTGTAGAGTTTGCTCTCATGAGCCGTTCTTGGTTTGTTCCAGCTTGCCAACACTTGGTGTCACATGTGAGCCTCCCACATGTGTTCACTCTCCATTCCAGCTCTGTGATTGAACTCTGCTCTTATTGACTAGGGGGCACTTGGGCAGGCATGCTTCCTTCCTGGGATTGACAGTCATTTCATGTGAGTAAAGGTGAAACTCAGTGAGACATTTCTAAGCATGTGAAAGCATTTGGTTTTTAAATGGAAGAAATGTCAGGTGCACCTGGGAACTGATATGCCTGTTTCTTTTTCTTTAGCAACTCTATTCAAATGTTATGTTTTCTGTCTGTTTGTACTCATTTATACTCTTATTTCTCTTTTCTCTGCCTTGTTCTTCTCTTTCAGTTCTGAATAAACTAACTGAATAAGCACTTAATAAAACCCTACCTTCTCTCACTGGCTTCATTTGGCCTTCAGACATAATGAGGAGATTGGCTTTTCGAGGCGCTGGTTGTGCTCTGGTAAAGCTGGTAAATTACTGATCATCTTCATCCTTTTCTGTTTCTGTCATTCTTTCCCTTTCCCTTCCAACCTTCTGAAGTTTTGTAATTCTCCCTATCTGAATCCCTCTGTGTTTATCAGTGATTCCAAGGATTAGTCCTTAATTTCATTAACTTGTGGAATTGTGGCCAGGTAGCAGTCTTTTATATAGTAAACAACAACAGGACCAGGGTATTTTGGGCCCAAGTTTTTAAAACTTTTAACCACTTTTAGTCAATATCAAACTAATATTCCTGGTAACAAACCAAAGCCTAGAGGAAGGAACATGATCAATGTAGATTGTTTTAAACAATGTGTGGATTTTAGCTCAAAGCAACAGGTAGGCTTAAGGGATTTTTTGTTTTGTTTTTTGTTCTTGCTTTCTGTTTCCTGGAGATCCTCAATTTTTCTCCCTGTAGTAACCAAGTGTTGAGTGAAACCAGGTCTGTTGTAAACTTTTAGCTTTAGAAAAGTTCTTTGAAATTACAATGCACCATTTGATACTGCTGTTAAATTATATAACCATTATAAGACTTCCCGGGTCTGTACCCTTTAACTGTAGTAAGTTATTCCAGTGGTTGCATTTCTTACATTGTAGCCAAATGTGTATATGTTTGTTAA